TGCATTAGCTGGGGTTATAACCTGAGCATGCTGGTTATTCTTTGTTAAGACTATCATGTGAAAAATTTTGTTTTGTACTTCGAGTGCCTTTTTGCTGGTTTTGCATAATTTTCTTCCAGAGTGGATTAAACTGAACTGCACAAAGACGTTCTTGGTGTGGATTATTCTTTGCAGAGACTTAAAGCTCAGTGGTCCTTCTGGGCTGTTTCCCTGAAGGGACAAGTACTTGGGGAAGTTGAACTGACTTAACTGAAGCAGTAGAGTTGATGAGTATTATGTCCTCTATGGATCTTCACCTTCAGAGGGAAGGTGATCTTTATACTATAATCCCTTTACAGCATAAGGTCTTTTTACTTTTGCAGAGTGTTGTCCTCGCAGAGGATTAATACACTTGCATGCATGTATATAATACATTCTTATCATTAGGTTTGCCTTTGTAGTCCAGCTGGCTTGGAAAACTTTTATAGGTGTCAGTAAATCATAGCTCTTAGCAAGAAAAGGACCTTTGTCCCATTCGTGGTAGGTATTAGGCTCAGAAAAATGGGCTGATTGGCTAATAGCGGTTATATAAAGAATAATATATATATTTGTAATGTAAATGACATACTTGAAAATTGGCCTTAATTGATTTAAAGGGAAAGTGAAATGAAGAGGAAAAACATTTGTGGCTTTTGTGCTGGGCAAAGTAAAATGGCATTCTTCAGCTTTTTTCACACAATCAGAAGTAATTTTTTTTATTACAGTGCAGACTGAAGTATGAGAAATAGTAGCCAGGGGAGTGATTAGCTGCTCAAATAAGAGAAGTTCCGTGAAGCACTCTAAGTAGACCAGAGCTTTGGAAAATGTTTTTTTTTAAAATATCGTATTTATCTTCACTAATTAGTATGAGAGAGAAGATTTATGTTTTGTGCATGTTTTTATAAGTTAACAAGGCATTGGATGTTTTTGATTATACACTTTGGAATGATGCCCTGTGACTTTGTAAAGCCATGCGATATTTCAGTAAATAGGTTTGTTTACAAGGGACTGCTCAGAAGAGTTAGTCTGAATTAATGTTTTGAAATAGATTAATTAAATTGCATTAAACTTGTGTGTGGAAAAACTGACCTGGAATTCAGGTGAATTTAATTTAGTTGCTTACAAATATTAATTTACTTAATTAAACAAAGGCTACTTTAATTCTGTGCTAAGTGTATCAATTCTGAGTAAGAGCATTGGCAGAACTATTGAGTGCACTTTATCTAATCTGCTTTAAATTTATACCTTTAGTTGCCTCTGGTTAGTTTTTCTGAGTGTTCCAGTACTAGAGCCACCTCCTAGCAAGTGATTGTAGGAATGCTCTAGGCTTTTTGCTCCTCTTTTTGGCTTTGTTTCTGAATATGAGAAGCCAAGAACAGGGAGGAGTGTTTATCTTTACTTTGAACTCCTAATACATAAATAGGGAAATTAATACTTTTAAGTTTTGATGGGTGATGAAATAGACTGTATTTATTATTGGAAGATTTAGTCCTGTTACTCCATATTGATGCTTGTTCTGTCTTGGAATCTTAGGACTGTTTTCTCAAATTTTGAAAAAATATTTTTCTTTTGGGAGGTAAGAAGGAACTAAAGCAATATGTTTGCTATGTGTGATTAGTTCCGTTATGCACTGCGGTTAAAATATAAGACAATTTTTAGTTTGTGCTGCTTTATACAACAGGAATGGGTTTCTGGTGGGTTTATTAGGCAAGGATTACCAAAATAGTGTCTGGCCTGGGGTGGGGAAAGGGTGGACAGTAGAAGAGCAGATCTGGGAACTGGCTTCCTGATGCAAGAGGTCTGAAGGGTTAGAAACATTTGAGATTTGAAGGTGCCCAGGGCTGAAGTGGGAGTGGAGGTGGGAGGAAATCCCTTTGATACACACTGTAACTTGTTTTTCAGTTTTTGCATTGGGTAAGAGTTGAAGCACTCTCTTCCAACTCCCAAAAAAGAGCTCCAGGAGAAGTGAGGAGTGCAGTATAGATCCACCTAAGTAGCTCAGCTGGAGCCAGTTTGAGTTTGGCTGGCCAAGGCCTCCTGTAGTGCATGTGTTAACGAGATATTTTCCATTGTCTGGTATAAGCTGTTTTCCCATAGCCCTCCCCCAGATAATAGCAAATTGACTATAAAATATTGCTCTGTTGATTCAACTTCCACATGCCGGTTGGGGGAGAAAAAGTGGGCACGTTTCATGTCCCTGTTGTAGTTTATCCTCGGCTTCCTGGCTTTCTGTTAATATTTATTTCTTATAGCTTAATATTTGTTCCAGGTAATATTTCAGCATTAGCGTCTTAAGGCCAAGGTACATATACTTAATTTAGAATTAATGGGGAGTAGGGTTTCAGCCAGAAGAAAGAAAGGGGTGGGGGGGAGGCTGGGAACGTATAGCAAATTTCAAGAAAAGAAGTGCTTTACATGAAGAAATGCTGGTAAATATTTCAGTGAGAAAAATATGTGGAAACTATATTGGCAAAGTTCTTATTCCGAATTTGTTGACTGAGGCTTTTTAAAACTGATAAACTAATCTGACTCTAACTCTAATCCTGTTAAATTTTATCAGGCTTTTACCCTTCGTTCTGAAAGCAAGGTTAGACCACTGCTAAAAATTTCTATTATAAACCGAAATTCTGAATGTGGAAGAGGAGCACTTTATTCAAGTTGTGATAGCTGCTGTGTTGCAGTACCCAGCATAGTTTACTTGGGCATTGCTTTCCTAATGCGCCCATCTAGCATTAATAACAAATGTGTTTGTTTTCCCCTTATGTTTTGATACAGGAGCTCACTGCATCTGGTGACAGCAGAAGTATATTTTGTTCTGCCTGTTGAGCAGGCAAAAATGTGTTCCATCAGGCTGTTGGCTAATTGCCTATGAGCTGTGTCTGACTTACTGAAATTGTAATAAAATTTGTTTAAGTGGAAATAAATACTAATGTTATGAAGACACATTGCTGTGTATGTGTAGTAGCTGTTCTGCCAGTCATAGTTCGGTTGTTATGCCCTTGTTTAAAGACTCTGTGACAGAATATTTTGATACTTCTTCTCTGATGTGAGGCTGAATACTTTCAGACTATGACCCATGAGAGGGGGGAACAGATGTCTCAGAAGTGTGAAGTTGTTTTTTGTTTGTGTTGAAGAAAAGTTTAATTATTTTCAGTTATTATTTTATAATGAATTTTGGAATGCTAAATATGTGCATCACATGAACTATTAAAGTGGATTTAAACAAAAGCATTGCAAATGCTTTGGCATGTTTTATAAAATATTGATGTATTTGCAGCTATAACTGGTTTAAATGCAACACGTGAAGTATCAGTGAAATCTTGAGTCGTGTAAATAGACAGTTTTAAAAGTTGTGTTTTGTTCTAATTTGTCCTTTTTTAGTGTTTGGAGTGGCGGATGTCTTCCTTCAACTTGAGGGCAGGGTTCTTAATATTACTAGCAGTATGTGACATTATGAAACAGTAACTGTAGCACAGCTGTTTTATTATGTTAAGCCTGGCTGGCTACCAGGATTTCTCAGAAATGGCAAATACAATTTGCCAAAATGGCATCCATATGCACTAATGTATTGCCAGGTTTTTTTGGGCGTGCTGCCACAGTCTGTGCTGTCCCAACAGTTTTTCACCATGATCAGAATTTCAAATGACTCAGTACTGGCAGTGCTGGTATTTTGAGTAAACGGTTCTGATATGTGGGGAGTCCTCCTTTTGAGATGGACTTTCACAGCACGCTGTGGTTGCTCAGGCCAGTCCCAAAATTCTTCTGTAGGTTGTGTTGCTCTCTTAAAAAAATTTGTACTCCACCTGTCTGGCTTAATGGCTTTCTTGTGCTCAAATGGAAGAGGGAAGGAGGAAAATCTTTATGTGTAGTTGGATGTGATTCAGTGTCAGTGCTGAGGGGTGAATTACCATTTCCATTGGTAAACCTCAAATTATCTCTCTAGTGGTTTTTTGCTTCAGGTTAAAAAGGAAGAAATTGGCTGATCTCTTGGTATTCATTGTCCATCCTTTTGTAGACTGTGGGAAAGCACAGATATGAATGATTCCAGTGATTTTAATTCAATTTTGCAGGTTGAAGGTTTCTCTTAAAACACTAATAAATAACCTTGACAGAGAATTCCAAGGGAGCAGGGCTGAGAAATATTTTGGCTTTAGAATCAGGACCATGTTCTGAAAATAGTTTCATCAGAACTGAGCTGTAGAAAAACCCGGCAAGTTCAATAGCCAAGGAAAAAAGTCAAATTTTCTTCAAGTCTAGTTGTAATTAGCTGCGAGGAAGCTCCCTGCTCTTACTGGATGTTTATGGAGATTTTAGAATCCTCTTAAAATTCCTATGTGTAAGGATCTTTTGTGCATATAGATCTGTACAGAATGCAGCAATTGCAAGTCTAGTGTGGCTGGAGAGCTTCATATGCTTTTGCGGCATCCAGACTAAATACTAAAGTGTGATCACTTTCAAGAGCTAAGTAAGAGTTTGTACATTAAAACTCTGCAATTTAGGAATGGTCTTGTATGCTCTTAAAACTTCTAAAACAAAAAAATCAATTTAAAAGAAAACATTTTATTCTGTATTTTATTCTGATGAGCTGCCAAATCTCTGAATCTAAATCTTCGCTTTATCCATTGGGAAAATGCAGAAAAGTGGATCAGCAAAGAAAGCTTGAGCTCTTGTCTCAGTCCTAGTATAGAAAGATTACTCATAGAGGTGATGCAGGTAGTTCAGCCCTTGGCTCTTCAGCGAGGCTACTGAATGAAGTAGCAGTTGATACCATTGGATGATCACTTTGTAGGTTGGCCACTCCTGTTAGGAACTGCATCTCCCTCTACAGAGGAAGAATGAAAAAATAAATGCAGTATCGATCTATGAAGTGTATCTGTATTAATGCTCTTCTTACTGCTGTTTTTCAGGATTGCATGACTTGTAAAATTACTTATTTGGGGACCTGCAGTGGTGTCTGACGGGATATTGCTGCCTGGTTCTGAATGATGTCAGAACAGGATTTGGCAGATGTTGTTCAGATTGCTGTTGAAGACTTGACTCCAGATAACCCAGGTACGGTGCAGATGGTACTGATGGCATGAGAAAGATCATTTATAGTATTGCCCATTAACAAGGTGGGAATCACTGTTGTGATTTTCTTAAAAATATAAAGCAGTCTGCAGATTTTTTTTCTGACGGGCACTTTTTAAGACTACATACCACGTTTTCAATAGCTTAACTTATATATCTTCAATACCCTTTAGAAATCAGATTTTTTTTTTTAAATTTTACTTTTCTTTTTAAGGCTTTATTGCCTGGGGCTTTTTTTGTGCAGGGGTACACAAGTGCCGAAAACTTTGGATGAAATACGGCCTCCTGCAATCTTTTGTTTTTCTCCAGACCAAATATATGTTTTAGACTTTCCCTGAAATGAGAACTATCACCCATCTATTATGAATTGTTGTTTTACTTGTAAAATAGTTTCTCTCAAACGTTATTAAAATTCTTTGTATGTATAACAAAATTACAGTAAAATTGAAAAACACTTCTGAAAACAAATATTGTGATATCCTTGGGTTAGAAGTTGACCTACTAAGCGAAAATGCATTGAGATCAGCTTTAGGTATTGATCCTCTGCTGCCGCTACATGTAAGTAAAGAACATGTATGAAAGAGCAGTAACTACAGTTCTGGAAAACAGAAACACATCTCAAAAACCCCTTTTTTTCTGATGCAAAATTAAAAAGTCACTTCAGAAATGTTCCCAAAGAGTTGGAGGAGAAGCTGGGACATGCCTGCCCTAGCCTAGCGGGTAACTTGGTGTTCAGGACTGTCAGCTGTGGTATGGTCAACCTTTACTCTTCCTTTGCTCAGTTTGGTAAAGGAACTCGAACCTGGTCATGCAATCTCAGGTTATGCTCTGACCATGAGGCTGTTTAGGGCTTTACCTCTTGGTTTTACCATCCAGGCCTCCCAGTTCTAAATTTAGTTCTTTTGCTACTATTTTCTTCAAAATGTTTACCTTTAGGTGAAAGGCTCTTAGAATCTGTAGGTCTGCATATCTAAGTATTGGTTGTGGAAAGCTTGCAGCACTGTGTTCATCTCCACTGGGGAAAAATAACCCACTACTACACTGAGAAGTGGGTGTACTCCTTTCTTTGTACAGGACTTCATTAGTACTTTTTATGATTTTGTATAAATATGAGGGTTCAGAAGCTTGTAGAATCTGTCAAAGCAGAACAGCTAATGTGGCAACTCTGCTACCTTGTGGTAAGTTCCTGATAAAAAAATCCAAGGTAGTGCCCGAGTGTTACATCCTCAGTGCACGTGAAACAGTTTTAGATTTGGATAAATGTTTTTTGAGAAGCAGTACAATATTGTCATATATTTAAGAGAAAACCCAAGTAAGTGTAAAAGAATATATACAATATGTTAATTAAATGCCTTTTACATTTTTTTTGTTTTATCCATTTAATGTATTTTTAATTTGAGCCTTGTCCTCTTGTATTATAAACTATGACAATGCTTTTTTTTTCTTTGCAGTTGTGTTGGAGAATCATGAAGTGACAGATGATGATGTAGAACCTGCTCTGAAACGTCAGCGTATAGAAATTAACTGCCAGGATCCCTCTATTAAGGTTGTGATAATGCCTTTTTCTGTTTTTATTTGTAATACCAATTAAGTTAGCTTTCTTAGGGAAATATATTAAAAGAAAAGAATATAAAATAAACTGTTTATACGTAATACTGGAATTATTCATAGCCTTCTTGTAAATGTCTGTACGATTTTTTGTTCATAAATTTTGAAATCTGGATGATTGGCTAATTTTCCAGTGTAAAATCAGTAGCAAGGATTTTATGTGCATTATAAAATGTCATCATAATTAATTACAGTGACTCAAACATCACTATCGGTACACTTTTTGCTAAAGTAAATAAAGTTAACCTAAAAGATAAACTTGGGCCTGTATTTGTATTACAATATGTAGATACTTTCAGCATGTTTTAAATTATTATTTTAAGCTAACAACACTCTCCTAATAGTTAAACCATATTTGGTTGAGGCTCAGTAGCACAGGCTTTTCTGTACTTGCAGAAATTCCTCTGCTCTTCTCACTAGCATGTTTTAGGTTTGTTGTTTGTTTTTTCATCTTGGAGCATAAGTATATGAGGACCATTTTACTGCCACACGTTTAATATGTAATTCTGTATCTTTGAAATGGTCATAGAAACTGAAGCTTCCGGGGGAGCAGCACTGTAAACCAGCTTGATTAGGTGTGTAAATTGTAATGAAGAGCCACAAGATGGCATAGTTGCTGTTTGCAAAGGAGAATGTGTGTAACATTACCCTTTAATAGCCTATTTTTCCCAAGAGAAACCAAGTAGAATATGCTTTCTTTGGGGGGCGGGGGGGGAGGGAAGCTTAGGAAAACAGATTTTATTTATTTGCTTTTCTTGATTTACTGTTCAGGAGAAATCTTAAGTGAGCGGCATTAATTGTCTCTGAGGTTATTTGTGTTGATATAATTTCCACTGTAATCATCTGAATTTATCTGTTTGGGCAGCAAAAAATCTTATTTAACTTCATCCAGGAGGATGTGTTCATAGATTTATAATCCTTTTGTTTTTACATGTATTGAATGAGAAGCTTTGGCATGTCATTTTAAATGATTTTGTGGTGTATGAAATCATACTAACAAAGTGCTTAGGTGAAAATGTGTTTGGCTCAGATGCTTTTGGCTTCTAAATAAATATCTGGAAGAATTTGAGAATGCTAAAATGCTCCTGGATGTCATCAGTTTTGTATGTGGCTGATTTTTGTCACTAGGCACAACTGCTATTTCCTTTAGAATTGTTTTCCAGTCACATTTATCTGGAGCTTCCTTATGTGTATGTTGCTAAAGATAAATGCACAAGTGTTTAAAATCGCTTTCTTTTGCATTCTCCCCTTTCTAGTCATTCCTGTATTCCATTAATCAGACAATATGCCTGCGGTTGGATAGCATTGAGGCAAAGTTGCTGGCTCTAGAGGCTACCTGTAAATCATTGGAAGAGAAGTTGGATCTTGTCATGAACAAACAGCATAGCCCCATCCAGGTTCCCATGGTGGCAGGTTCTCCACTTGGCGCTACGCAGACATGCAATAAAGTACGATGGTAAGAAAAGAACAGATTACTCATCAATGTGCTTTTTAAAATAACGTAAATCCATTTCTTTGGCATCAAGCTCTGCAGCTTTCTGTATAGCTGTCAAGAGCTTGGTATCCTGTTTATGAATGCAGAATTAATTTATCGTGAAGGTAATTTTTGTGCTAGTTTCCTGATGTTACTTAGAATGAGACGCTGCTCCATGGACAGTTCGCAACTATTTCCACATTTCATTTTGACTTAAACCAGACTGATTCATCCATTCTCTGGAAAAGTCTCATCAGCTATTTTAGACAGGTTTTTTAGACTCGCTTTACTTTTATTTATGTGACTGTTTTGAGTTAATGAGTTCATCATCAGTCTAATGGCTTCTCATTTTACTTTTATTCACCAGAAATACAATGGAGTTTGTTTTATGTGCTTGTTTTCTAAAGACATTTGCTAGAATAATATCTGTGCTTATTTTGGGGTTAGAAGCTGGAGATGGAAAATCTGTTAAATAATGTAATCCACTTTGATGAAAGAGCAGGTTTGACCTGCAGTACCTTTTATGTATGAGTTGCCTAGCATGGTTTTAAATATCTAAGTCTTGATATGCCTGTCATTTTGCCGTGGAGATGATTCCAGCAAGAGAAATATGCTTATCAAAAGACTCTTTTGTCTAACAACTTTTCCCTCCTCATTCGTATTTGTATAGCTAGAAGTTTAATACTTCTCTAAATAATTACTTTTTATTCTCCATTACAAAGGTGTACTGGCAACTTTCTCATGTCATACCATTCTAGTAAAGATATACTAACTTAATTCATCTTTCGTCAGTCTGTTTTCCCATGTTCTGATCTTTTTCATCACTCTCTCTGAACTTTCTCAATATCTGAAAATTATTTTGAATATATTTTTGGTATGTTATACTTGGTGCAGTGTTTCAGGTGCACTACTGTAGAGCTCTATAGAAAAAGCTTAGTTCCTTGCTTTATGTTGTGGGACTCATCCATGTGAGGTAAGGAGAGAAAAAATAAACCTCACCACAAACATTACCCTTTTTCTACTAGGCCACTGCTTGCTCCCAGCTGTATAATTGCTTTTTTAACTTTCAGTATTGCTATTTTTTTAATAGGTATTTTAAGTTAAAAAAAAACCCTCAAGGTCATAGTCGCATTTTATTATGATATCTTTCAGTTCATGCATTTATGAAACATGATGCAGTATAACCTTAGGATCATAAGGGTTCAGAGTTGGAGATTTTTACATGAGGGATGCACTCTGCTCAAGTAGCTGTACCTGTTGCATAATGCAGACTGTTACCTTGCAATTGTTCATTAAATGTGATTACTTCTGATGAATTGTCCTGGTTTCAGCTGGGATAGAGGTAGATCTACTTTTCTTCCCAGTAGCTGCTACAGTGCTGTGTTTTGGATTCAGTATGAGAATAATGGTGATAACACACTGATGTTTTAATTGTTGTTAAGTAGTGCTTACACTAGCCAAGGACTTTCCAGCTTCTCATGCCCTGCCAGTGAGAAGCTGGGAGGAGGCATGGCCAGGACAGCTGACCCAAACTGGCCAGAGGGATATTCCATACCATATGATGTCATGCCCAGTATATAAACTGGCGGAGTTGGCCAGGGGCACAGTGGCTTGTGAACTGGCTGGGCATCAGTCAGTGAGTGGTGAGCAATTGTGTTTTGCATTACTTATTTTGTATATTCTTTATTATTATTATATATCATCATTATTATTTTCTCTTCACTTGCTGTCCTATTAAGCTATCTCAACCCACAAATTTTACTTTTTTTTTTTTCTTTTACTTTTTTTTTTTTTTCTTTTCAATTCTCCTCCCTATCCCACTGGCTGGGGGGAGGAGTGAGTGAGCAGCTGTGTGGTGCTTAGTTGCTGGGTGGGGTTAAAACATGACATGAATGTAATCTAAGCTGTGTAAAAGATAGGTCATTTGCATCTAAAAATCTAAAATGATACAGAACCCAATGTGTTTCTTGATCTCCCTTTTAAAAGTTTGAATGTCTTTTTTTTTTTTTTATTTTTTTATTTTCAGTGTAAATTTGAGTACTCTCTGCTCCTTTTGCTGTAAGAGTCATCTGTCCAGTTAGGAACAGTTGATATCCTCCAACTTCTCCAAAACAACTTTTCTTTTTAGGTGTCCAAATACAATGTTTGCAAAGAATTCCTTTATTGGTCTTTGTTCTTGTGCTGGTGATGAACATCCTGACCGTTGGACACCCTCCTTTTCCCTTTTCTAGGTTCTGTGTCTGCATTTACCTATGCTGTGAAAGCTTCCCAGTCATACATTGAAAAGATCAATTATGGCTAATTTCTATATAAAAAGAAATAAAATACATGCAATATCTTGGATCATAGAGCAAGTAACTAGAATATTACACCACTGTTTTCGCTAGATACTTTTTATCAATAATTATTTCTCAAGGTACCTTCTTTAAATCTGTTACTAATTTTTTTGGTCATTATATTAGAGATCTTCAAGTTCTTGTACATAAGCTGAACTTCTTACTGTGGTTTGTGCACAAAAGACTTCAAAAACATTTTCAGAAATGCATGGCCCCTTTGGGAATCTTATTAATTCATGTTCAGTGAATGCTTTCCTCTGTAAATTGTACTGTTTTGAGTTTGTTATGGGATTTGTCAGACCTGAGGTTATTTTTTTTTTTTTTAATCTCTGTAACCATCAGAAATCTGTCCTGTGTGTTAATGGTGAGCTTGGTGTTTAATCTTTTTGTTTTGGCTGTACAAATTTATGATGACAGCTTCTCAGACAGTCTGAACATAATTTAGACAGACATCCTGAAGACTGTAAGATTCTCATTTGTTAGTGTTGGTATGAAGTTGCACATTGTCAGATGTGTCTGGCCAATAAAGCACTGAGGGCTTTTTGTTCTTTTAGCAGTCTGTGGCCTATATGACTCAAAAGAAAATAGTTAGGGGTGTATGTGTTTAACTTGGCATTAGTAACACTTCAGTGTTACAGTGATAGAATTTTTCACTGAATTCCGTGTCTCATTCATAAAAAGCTTTATCACTTGTTCATTATTTCCAGTGAAAGCCTGCATGGGCTGTTCTGTTGTATCTGTATTGTTCCCTCTTCCTCTTACATTGCAGGTGGCAGTGGAGAGCTGACAACAAGGGTTAGTATGTTGGATAGTGATTTTCAGATTCTGCATCTGAATGAGATTCTTCAACCTCCTTCTCCTTCTGCCACTACAGTAATACCAGGTTTGCCACTCTAACAAAAACGTTGTAGTTAGCAAAACGAAAACTAGTTAGCAACCAGGTGGTGCTACACTGCCAGTAAAGCAGACTCTCATTCTTTTTTTGATAAGTACCTTAGGATTTGTGATCTTTTCTCTTCCACTCTATAGTGAATTTTGTTTACATTTTTTCTGGTAATTTAGTTACTTGCATTAGTTTGGTGCATATTTAACATAATCAAAATGTGTTTTACAGCAGTGCACACAGTAAAGTGTATGAACTGTGCATGATAAATCCACACAGTTTGATTGCTTTGTGCTAGTGCTTTTAAAATTAATTTGATTTCCTAGACTTCTCAGCTTGAAATATGCCTAGATCATCATGTGATGAAAACAAGGACAACTTGGACAGAGGAGCTTTCTTCTGTGTTATCTTATGGTGCAATTGGGTAGTGACAAAATACCAGGTGAATTCACAGCTATGCACTATGGCCTGCCTTGACGACTATGTGGAATTTTATGCTGTGTGCAGCACTGTACACTGGCTGCTTATAGGATGGAGTGATAGAGTGCAATCTGTCCATATAGCTGCATTAGGGAGGCAGGAGTCTGACTTCGTAACAGTTGTGAGATTTACGTTCAATGATAAGTTGTCGTTTCTAGTAAATTTAACACATTGATTTATTGGGATAACTCATACCTTTTTTGTGCCAAACTGTTGTTTCCAAGTTTTAAAAATTCTTACTAGGGGAATGAAGCAGAAGTTTTCAAGGAGAGTTGCAATAAATCAGGAACCACCCCATGTTATTAGCTTTCAGGGCAGAAATGCAGTGCATTTTAGAGTCTCATTCTGCTTTCTGTCTCTTTATTAAACACACGAGGAATGACATGTGTGGAAATCTTCCAACATCCTTTTCTGGATATGTGATTTTTGAAGGCTTGCTGATGTGTCTTGGAAAACTGTGAAACATTGAATTCAGAAATTACAATACTGTCTACTGCTCTTGATATTTTGCACAAGTACATCTTCATGAAAGCTGGATTGTGTTCTCAATCCTTTTGTTGATATTGCTCACTCTAACAGTGATCCACTGTTACGGTACTTGGTTATATACTAGCTAATTGCAGTGCAGATAAGGAAGAGAATAAAGGGTCCGTGGTGGTCTGCAATGAATAATTTGTATGAACAGTTGAGATACAGAGGAACAATAGGCTAACTGTAAGATCTCCAAATACTAAGTTTAAGCTACAATAAAAACTAACAGGAGAAAACTTCTTTTGAAAGGAAGTAATTCTGAATTTGAGATGTAAACTGTTTTGGGGGAAACAGCAATAGCCCATAAACAGTATGGAAAGACTTGTAGCTGTTGTATTTCAATAAACCATCACACAAAAAGCAGAACTAAACAAACGTAGTTTTGTATAGGTTTTTGTCCTATGTTCTCTACCTTTCCACTGGACAAGCCTCGTGTTTTGCTGTATGGTCCATGACGCTCCCTGCTGTGGGATTTTGAAATCTTCTGTGCTCTTCTCATGATAGTAGTGTATGTGACTGCTGGAGTAATGAACGAAACCTTTCTGGCTTTCTGTTAGTGGGGTGTAGCATTTGGGTTTGCCCTTACCCCAGCCTCAGATTTTAACAGGTGTGTAATATCTCTCAGACCTCTTTCTTTTTGTCAGATTTGGTCATAAGAGTGCAAAGTATTAATTGGGATTGGAGAAACAGCATGATGTTAAATCTCATTTTCTTTGAGGGTGGAAAAAAAAGAGATTACTTTTAGAAAGCAT